CAATTTAAAGTGGTGTCTTTTATTTTCACAGTCTTGGAGGAGAATGGCCAATGAAAGCATATTACATTCTATAAAGATTCACAAAAAGACGATTCATTCTGAAATGTTGCCGTTTTTATTACGCTTAATAGAAGCAGCATCGATTAACGGATTCAACATCTGTCAAGGGCCAAAATGACTGTCATCTGGAACAAATGCGCTTTTGTTTTTCTCTGTCTGCAGATCGACGTCATTCCTCCACACGTTCAAAATCAATCAACTGACAAAATGTCTGTCCGATTTGGGACAGGCAACCTATTATTTTTCTTCATCTAAACATATATCAGTTTCGAAATGTTGACGTTTTATCATCGCTTTGCAGATTTCACACAGAAGAACAAAATTACCAAAACACAGCGCTTTGAAATTTTGCTCCGTTAGCCGTCACCTTAACATGGTGGAGGAGTTTGTGTGTCACAATGATCCTAGCAGTTAATTTGTCTGGGGCTTTAGGCCCCTGGTAGGATCACGCATGGCAAAAAGATCCTTGGTGAGGGACCAGAAAAAGCACGGCTCAATGACTCCAATGATGAATGAAAACTTAGGATGGTGTTTTCCCCTGGTCACGGGGCCCCCCTTTGGAGCCAGGCCTGGAAGTGGGGCACGCTGGTGACTGCCTGGTGGCCGAGCCTACGCCCATAGGGCTCAGCCCAAAGAGGCAACGTGGATCCCCCCTCCCATAGGCTCAGCACCTATGGGAGTGGCCAAAGGGGATGGTTGCAAAGTGAACTGGGCGGTGGCCAAAGGCGGGGACCTTGACGGTCTGATCCCTGGCTGCAGAAGCTAGCTCTTTAGAGACATGGAATTAAAAACCTCCTTGGTTGCAACTGGGGGTGGATGAGATCTGCCAGGAGTTCCTCAAGGCTCTGGATGATGTGGGGTGGGCCTGTCCTGGTTGACAGGCCTCTGCAATATCGCACGGTCATCGGGGAGAATCCCTCTGGATTGGCAGACCGGAGTGGTGGTCCCTCTTTCTACGAAGGGGCACCGGAGGTGTGTTCCGACAACAGAGAGATCACACTCCTCAGTCTCCCTGGTAAGGGCTATTCAGGGGTGCTGGAGAGGAGGGTCCGTCAAAAAGTCGAGTCTCAGATTCAGGAGGAGCAATGTGGTTTATGTCCCGGCCTCGGAACAGTGGACAATCTTGGCAAGGTCCTCGAGGGTCCATGTGAGTTTGCCCAATCAGTTTACATACTGTATGCTTAGTGGACTCGGAGAAGGCGTTCGACCGTGTCCCTCAGGGAGTTCTGTGGGGGGTGCTTCAAGAGTATGAGGTACCAAACCCCCTGATACAGGCTCTTCAGTCCCCATACCACACCGCTCGGGCATCTGACTTGGATGCCCCAGGTGAGATGTTCCCGGGATGACCCAGGACACGCTGGAGAGACTTTGTCTCCCGGCTGGCGTGGGAACGCTTTGGAATCAACTGGAATGAGCTGGAAGAAGTGGCTGGGAGAGGGAAGTCTGGGCTTCCATGCTAAAGCTGTTGCCCCATGGCCCGACCCTGGATAAGCAGTAGAAAATGGTATGGTATGCTGTGGATGGTATCGGCTCTGAAATTTGGATATTTGACATTGCTTGGAAAAAAAACAAAAGAACAAGATGAATATCTCTTTGGCGAGAGGTAAGCTACTATTTTCTTCTTCTTAACGCAGAGTTCCCGAAATATTGCAATTTGCTATGGCAAGGAAATGTTTGCTGTTTTTTGAACACTTTGTATGAGCTCCATCACGGGACAAATGTTTGTTTCGTTCACAAGTGTGCTATACTTTATCCCGTATAAATGCTAAAGGTTTCGTTTTTACTCCGCTTCAGAGAAGTGCCATCATTAACAGATTCAATAGCAATTAAAGAACTAAACATATGTCTCATTCGCGACAGGCATTCTATTGTTTCAGTTCGGAAAATGTGTAACGGTCCTGAAATTTTGCTGTTTTTGCATCACTTGGCGGTACAATACTACAAAGTGTACTTTTTTTCTGGACAATCTGTTATGTTTCGTATTACATGTCGCTTCGGAAATTTTGCTATTATCAGTTCTGAGATGGTTTGCATTTTTATTTACGTTTTATAACAATGCGATCGTGCAGCATATTATATAGCAATCAAGAACAAAATGCCCATCTCATTTTTTCGCCTCATAAGAGCTTCCTGAAAATGAAAGCGTTGGCATTAAAGCATTTCACGATGCCCAACGGACTCTCCTTCATGAGTCAAGTCTCATAAATGTGCAGATATGGCAGCAGGTAAGGAGACAACAGCAAGCGTTCGATGGATGAGTCCGCGAGCTCGCTAGCTCGCTATGAGTCACGTTGCCCTTTAAAAGGACACGGCCTGAAGACGTGCACTTATATTTCCGACACACACACACATGCACCCACACACACAGACACACACACGCATGTACGGGCACGATAAGTTTTACGGGAACACAGCATGGGTGTAAAACCGAGGCGAACACACCAAGGCAAGCATGCTCATGAAACCTTGAGCATTCAGGTTATACAATACTCGCATCGCTAACAAACCCAAGATGAGTTATTCGTGGATTGGCAACAAGAACCCAAATGATTTTAAAGGGTGCATGGGGCAGATTTTTCCACTTTGTGCAGCAACACGATTGTGTTTCAATTCTTAGTGTTTGCTTTATTTTTGTCACCTTAGTGAGCACAAGTAGTTGCTCAGGAGTCTCAAGCAAAAACAGTTGGTATTATTTTTCGCTTTAATCTGGTTGATTTTGTATGACATTTTCCTACATATTATGTCAACGAAATAAACATAGAAGTTGCTCAGCAGCTGTTAATCTGCTCAAGAAAATGGTTCTTTAATTCTTATTGTTCACTTTGATCTGGTTGATTTTGTTAAGTTTCAACATTTTAACATCATAGCAACTAAATTAACACAAAAAAATCCACAGCACTCGCGAATATGCACAAGCAAATTGTTATTGTTTGCTTTGATTTCGATAGTTTTGTTCTCCAATTTTCAAAATATTTCATCAACTGAATAAACACTAGTTTGCACAGCAGCGTCTCGTATGTTCAGAAAACAAAAAAACTATAGTTTGCTATCGTCTGATGATGTTGTTTGACTCAAAATGGTTGTGCCATGCTTATGCAAAACAATCGTGAGCTGTAATTCGTATTTGATGCTTTGATTTTGTTGACCTTTGCTCGACAACTTTCAACTTTTGCTTTTATTAGGTAAGATATGTAAATGCAATATGTAAATACACACCACACTGACAGCAGTTGAGATACGCTCCAGCAACGTAGTTATGCTTATTTCTTAAGGTTTGCTTTGGTCTTATTTCTTTCTATAATTTTCAACATTTGGTCATTTCGTAAGATAAGTAAACTCAGAAGCTGCACAAGCTATTTCATACGCACTTGGGCAAAATGAGTGTGTTTAAATTCTCATCTTCGAACCATGGTTGAAGTGAGAGCACATTCTCGTTGTGCTACAGTGTTTATATGCTGAGCACCTTGATGATGGTCGCCCACTTGCATCAGGCTGCCTTGGGTGAGCGCGCTGCGCAGGCTGGGGACTGAGCTTTTTTTTTTTTTTCCCTTTCTTTTTTTTAAATGCAAATGATATGGATTGGATGCCGGCAAGCACCAATCACAAGCCTTTGATTTATATTGAAGGCAGCAGTCGCACAGCAACCAAGCGCCTCCACATGAACTATGTTATGTAAAAACAATCCAAATGCATGCTAAAGAACTGCAAAATAAAACAAATATTACAAAATTAAAATATGGATCATGAAAATTAAACTAATAGCAATAAACCACCGGTAATAGCAGGTTAAATATTTAAAATAAATTGGTATGATATAAAGTTAATTAAATACTGAATAATGCAAAGAGCTTTGGTTTAAAACCCGACTAAACAATAGCAGTTATAACGAATAAAATATTTTACACCCAAAGAAACTACAATATTCAACAATGATCATGAAAAATAGACTAACAATAATTTTTAAATAAATTGAATAAAAAAATATCTTTATGTAATCTAAATGTATTAAAACTAAAAGATTTATATAATCTAGAAATTGAATAAAAACCTTTAATCTAAACTTAATACTATAAGAATGAAAAATAAAGTAGTAGATAATAAATACTGAATATGCAACAAAGCATGAATAAATAAATAAATACTGTTAAGAAAAACAGAATTTAGCAATTAATTAAATTCTACTGTTGAGTAAAATGTCATACTTACATAATTGCATAAAAATGAAATATAATTACAGATAGAGAATGAACAGAAGAAAAATAAAGATAACACTGGCAGAAAATAAATGAAGAATACATAAAAATAAAACGGAAATAAAGAAATATAAAAACCGGCTTAAAAATGAATCAAAATAAGAAAAAATACAGCAAAACAATTAATAATCAAAATCAATTAATGGAAGAACGGAAAATAAAATATAATTGAAGAAACAGAAAAATAAATCATCATAAAAAAAAATCAACAAATAAATACACTAAAATCAAACAGTGCTTAAAAATAAGTCAAAAGAAAAAAAACAATACGACACTTAAATACTGACTAAAAATATATATTTTAGAAAGGTTGAAAAATGTTGGCTGTGGGCAAATCCCACAAACCACTTGCCTCTCCAAAGCAATTGGACAACAATCGTGTTCTTCACCTGATGGGCACCCGAGGATGCGCTCCAAAAAGGTGCTCACTCAACTCAATGAGATGATGATGATGATGATGATGATGATGATGAGCAGCAGAATGTACTCGCCTCACTGACGTCGAAGACTGCGAGCTTAGCATGGTGTTGTTAATGTGACGGAATGAAATAATGGATGTGGCCGTTGCCGTGGAAACAAACTTTTCCTCCCACCCCCGCTCATCTCCCTTCTCCCCTTGCATCCATCCAGACACACATACATTCCATATGGCGCAATGCAATTTTTTTTTTTTTTCAAGACACTCACAGCAGTTGGTGACAGCGAAGCTGTTGGCCACCTCCAGGTTGTCGATGTGAGGCGTGAGCCGAAACTCGGCCGTACCGAACTGGACCATGCCTATCCTGAAGGCGCTGTACTCTTGGTCCGCGCCCCTCGGAAAGAGCCCCCCTGGACGGGTGAAAAGACACGCACCAGTCAGTCTTCCTGAAACGCAATGCGCTTCATTTTTGGCGCACATTTTTTTTTTTTTTTTTACACTCACCGATTTGGACGCTGGGCGAGCCTCCCTGCGCACACCCCCACAAAACGAGGAGGAAGGACATGGAGAAATGCACAATTTGCTGCATGGCCGTGGCGGTCCGCATCTACCGTACACACACTCAGGGAGGGGAGTCAGGAATATTCCAGGAGAGAGACGGATGATCAAGGCGTTAAATCCCACGCATCTTTTTTTTTTTCTTTTGGTGCAGCCGGGTGTGCAATTAACGAGGACGAAGGTTGGAGGTGGAAAATAAAAGGGGGGGGTGACCCCAGTAGTCGAGGAAAAAAGGACCCTTAGCGATGGAGCGGCAAGCGCTGCTGATTCCTGCTCCGAGTGTGGCGCTCCTCTCTTAGCATCACCCCCCCATCACCACCACTCTTCCCTTCCCCCCTCCTCCTCAAGCCGAGAACCGAATGCTAATGAGGCGGGCGCCGAAGATTGCCGAAAGGAGAGCCGGCCGCTCGACTGACGTCAGCAACGAACCGTGCGCTTTCATGAGCCATGCGTGCAGAAAGAGATGTTTCTAGTTGGGTTCAAAAATTTGGAAAAATAATTGCTTTTTTTCCCCACTGTATTTTTAAATGAAGAAGTAATAAATAAGCAAAAGTAATAAGTATTACAATAAAGGACATCAGATTTATCATAAATAAATGTTTTTGTTCCAAAAGGTCAGGCTTACACCAAAATAAAGGCACATTACTTCTGAATTAATTTAAAACACAGCCTATCTACTTCAGAGTTCTTAACTTACAAAAGACTGACTGGCATTATTGAATATGATGCTTCACAAAATTCTATGAAAAAGATGGCAGAAAACACGCATGTATACACACACACACACACACACACACACACACACACACACACACACACACACACACACACACACACACACACA